AAGAAAAAAGTAAAAGTCTTCACTGTCAGGGTCAATATTCGTAGAAAAATATTAGACAAACCTTTTTATCATCAGTTTCTTATTCCAAATGTACATTTCCTGGAGAATACAATAAATAACAGTTTTTTTCTCTAAATTAAAGTATTAAAATATTATTTAGCTTTTATAAAGCATATATTAACTATAACTATTCTCTAATATAGAGTATTTCTCATTTCAATCTGTTAACACTGTGTGATTTCAGCCTTATTCCTCCACATATGCTGGAAAGTAATAGACTGCTGTCAAATCCAACAGTTATTGAATAAGTAGTTTTTGACTGTTTTTCTCAAATATTTCATCACCACTACAGATAAAAATAAAAAGTATAATATGACATACTGAAGCATATTTACTAAAGAATTGAAACTCAGTATCTTAATATGGCAGATGGTAAATTAATATTATGACTCATAACCTGTAAAAAAAATTAATAACAAATAAAAATAACAAAAGTTCAGCTATTTTTTCTTCTTTTTCTGTAGAAACACACCTTCTTTCTTATTATCTTTCATTATGCCAGTATAACAAAACCCGAGAGATGGTTTTGGTTTGGTTTTAGCGAAACATCATCATTAAACCAAATCAATGTGATTTTGAGCCCTAAACTGAAAACTTCTACATTTGAGGAGGATGTTTTTTCAAGCTCTTTATTGGCAGTCTCTTTAGGTCTTTTGGCCATGTATGTGGGTCACAGCTAAAATATATATGGACTGATTTAAGTCAGAGCTATAACTTTCAGCTTTCTCTCTACAACAGCCAAATACTGACAGTATAGTGCATCTGAAACTATCAGCCTTATTCCCCTTCCTCCATCCAGAAATCAGGTCAATAGGACAACAGTTTAGGGAGGAGAGTGTAGACACCCCTCTGCTCAGCAATGACTGCCAGCTCATCATTAAGAATCCCAGCGCTGCGCAACTAAAGGGTAATAACTAAATGCAATAAACAATTATTTATGCTTTTCGCTCAAACATTAAATAAAAGAGAAGTATTTAGCATCCAAATAAACAAATTTAGACAAATGTTTCCATGACTCCAACCACCAGATGGCAGAAAAGTGCTTCTAAGATAACCCCTAGCAGAAGAAGCAATAATGGTACGCATCACTGATCTCTTTTGACTGGATTGCTGATTGGCCGTTGGGGCTGTGAAGTCACCATCTGCCATATTGGTACTCCCTGGTTAGACCCCTCGGAATGTAAATAATACGTGCATTACAGCATCAAACAAAGATGATTTTCTCATTTTCAGGGGGGCTTGATACTTTTTAAATAAAGATAAAGTCATCACTTTGATGCACACTTGCTGTTTCATAACATCAGTAAATTTATGCAATTTATGGTTAAACAAATAGGCAAATCACATTGGATATTCGGTATGAAGACCCTGAAATCTATAAATCATGTGATATAACATATGCAAATCCATCAGAACAACATTAGTGTGTTAATGGAGCATAGTAATACTGTAGTTAGATATTAAGCATGTTACACACACACACACACACACACACACTATCTGATGATGTGCCAAAAGTGCTAAATTGATGATGTATATGTAATATACATTATTAAATTGTTATGGTAATTACATTATATTACAGGCAGACAGTGGGGAGTACCAAGATGGCGGCAGGTACCTTCAGTTGTTTTCGGGTCTATCAGCAATCCAGTAAATAAATAGAGATCAGTGGTATACATACAGCTCTCTTGGCTGTTTGATGGTTTGAGGTGAATGTGTGACAACAGGGGACATGGTCTATCCAGGCTCTGGGTCTTCTCTAGGGTCTCTATGCTGATGAAGATTCTCAGTTATCCAGGTCATCCAGGAATTTTTATGGTCTATATAGCTGTTTTTTAGTCAGTTTTATCTTTACTACAACAGATTCCAGCAGCATCCATCTTCAATATGAACCAATTCTTAAACAGTCATTGAACATACATGAAAATATTTTATTAGAAACAGGGAGGAGCAGATCGTTCTGTAAACTGGTTCTAAGTGGTGAGAGGCACCATTAGGCTTGATTAGGCTCTCAATTCAGGGATGACAACAACTGCCTGGATTTTTTGCCTGTGTTTGGAATACAAAAGCACAAGATGGAACTGCCTTAAATCACATTTCATTTGCACCTTTTCAGTTCGAACTGTGAATATGTTCAAATGTGTCATAAATAAATAAATTCATTTTTTGTTTGAAAAATCACAATCAGAATGTTATCACCATTTCCCATCGAAAAAAAAAGTCAGCTAAAAAAGCCATCAAATGGACCTGTAAATCAGAAAACGTTTTCTTGACAGATTTTCATTGGTTTTTCTAAGAGTGCCCACTTAAATCAGGTCCAACCTAAATTTATTACATTAGATCTACATTGCACTCAGTCTGTGATGGTTTATCTAGACTCCAAAACTTCATTTCAATTTAGAATATATAAATCGTGGACGACTCTTTTTATGGGTATACTCTGACAGAATAACAGTTTGCAAAGCTAAAATAAAAGAAGGGAAAATAAAACATATGGTTCTTTGCAAAATTATTAAACATCATCAAACAGAATCTACCTTATAGGTGGTAGTCAGCAGCCTCCCTAACAGTTCTGTCATAGTAGTTATAACGGTTTTGTTGTTGTTGTTGCAGAGAGCAATAATCCTAAACCCAGCCCCCTTATAGAGGGTACCCAGAGCCCAATAACAACAGCCTGCTGGTCTGGAGTGGATTTTCTTAAATTAGATCTGTTTACTGCTGCTAAGAACGGGCTGTTTATTTATTACTGCTTTGAAAACATAGTATGTCAACATATGTATTAGTCTAACAGGGAGATGTCCAGGGAATTTATATCAAGCAAAGGTCAGATCTGACATTCCCCTACAAGTGGTGACACAACAACCAACAGCTTTAAGCTAAAGAGATACTTTCTAGTTTTACTGCTTCATGGATGCTGGGCATATACTATATTCAAAGAGATTTGCAATATAATCACAATTTAGCAAAATACTTTTTTCAAATCAATAATTTAAGTCATATTATATATATATATATATATATATATATATATATATATATATATATATATATATATATATATATGCATGTGTGTGTGTATGTCTTTTTTTTATTAACTGCAAGAGACCTGAACCAAAGCACTTAATAAATCTTAGATTACAGCCATTAAAAAGAATGCTTCATTGATGCAGAAGAAAGCCTTTGCTGTCCTACCATTAAATACGTGGAGTTTGCTGAATCTTGTAGGGAAAGATTAGGTGGACTCAAACAAAACAAAAATTAGAATTTGCATACACACTGTTAGGTATAGTGGAGGACTGTGATGCTCTGGGCCTGTTTGTCTTCTAAAGTAAATAGATACATTATATTTGGAGTGTATGGACTCAGAACCTGTAGGATTTCAGGAGATTTTAAGTAAAATTAGCTGTCTCTGGTTTTGACTAAAAGAATTTGTGTTGCACCTTTAGCAAAAGGGAGATAAAATATAAAAGGTATACGAAGGTACAGGTAAAAACATTTATATGTATCTAGACTCATACAGTATTAAGAGCTTCCTTTTTAGATGCATCATTGTAAGATCAAACTGCTGCCAGAAAAAAGGTTTTATCAGTGTAACGAAATGGGCCTGATAATGTATATGTTGACTTGTGTGGTGTGTTAGATAAGATTTATTAAAAATAAATATACGTACAAACACTGAAAAAATTACTTAATCAGAAATTGACCATTTTTCCAATAAATAGGCCTATATTATTAAAAAAAAACTTAAGAGTTCCTATTGGCTTTTCAGTTCAGACCATGAAACGTGCATTTTTTTCTCTCAAAAACGTCAGTGTACATTGGAATTTTAAAGAAAAAAAGTAGTAAATTATTGCCAAGTGAAAGGAAAAAATGCAACTCGTCTTTTTTTCTTTCACACAAACATATGACAGGCACAGTTTTGTCTTTACTAGAATATGGTATGAAGCCAAATTAGTCAAGATTAATGAAGAAAGTAAAAAAAAAATCACCTCAGAACAGACATGTTTTAGTCAGATTCAGGATATCAAATGAAGCCTTGAGTTCAACTAGATCACTCTAACACATCAATATGCTTTGATCTAAACTATTCCAAGGTTTGGGGTCTTGTTAAAAGATTAATTCCTATCAAAGTTAAATTTTCATCAACCAGGTTTTCTTCCAAGAGGACCATTTATTGATCCTCATCCATATTTAAGTGTAACACGTTTCTCTGTCTTCGGACATGAAAACTATTCCCACACCATGAAAGCACCACCAGCCTGTTAAACACTGGGCTTGTTTTTTTTTTTTAAAGGGTGATATGCAGTGTTAGTTTTCTGCCATATTTAGTGTTTGCATTGAAGCCAACTTTTTAAACTGCAGAGCACCTTGTGGGTTTTTGTCTACTTCCTGCAATTCTTCTGTTTTTGTTTTTTTGCTGCTCTTCCAGGAATGGCAGCTTTCTGTGTTCAGTGGTACAGTATTGCATCCTTCTTGATGCTCATTGTTCTCTAATGTTTCCTAACATTTAACAAATAAGGACTCCGTTTACTCTTTGGGAAATATTTGAGGGTATTTGCTTGAACTTAACAGAGTAAGAACCAAAAACAAGTTTTACATCTTAATGTTTCACTCCCACCTAACAAATAATACACTACTTTGTTCATCATAGAATAAAATACACAAAAATAAATGTGGTTTTAATTTACGACCCTTGAAGGGTATGAGCGTTTCTAGCTTTTCCTCATCCTGGCTAATAAAATTGAAGTGGGATACATAAGTTGCCCTTTTATAGATCTTGTATTCCTGCTTAAACTAGTTAAAATTTAAATATTACTGAAAACATAAGAGGATAGGGACATAAATAAAACAAAAAACAAAAAAAACAGGCACCACTGTCAGATGTAGTTGTTGGATCAAAAGTTGGATGGATCAGATAGAGACAGCTCCTTCCCTACCTTACTAAAGACGAGTTTCCACTGTCACGGTGTAATCAGGCATGCAGAGGGATTACGCTTTGGATCCTGGGGGAAAAGTCAAAAGCCATCTTTCCAGCGAAGCCTACTTCCACCGAGATGATGCCGCGCCGGGGAGAATTAAGATGACACCGCATGCGCTCCCATGCAGCCTTTAGACACAGCAGCAGTCCTCACCAGCATCCAAGCTCCTTAAGGCAGATCACGCTCGGTGTCTTGATTTTGTTTAACCAAATTGGGACTTTAGTACATGGCAAATTCCGTTTTAGTTCAGTATATTGAACGCGGAACACGTTTTACGCCTGGAGGAGAGCACGGTACGCGCGCAAAGGATGATGAGTATCTATGAGGGCGGAGAAACGCGTTAATTAAAGGAAATCATTTTCTTCCTCACTCTGGTTATTTAAAGGCGTAAAACCTTACGTTGCAATACGTTTTATATATGTATATTTTTTTTATTGCTGGCAACCATAACAAGATAAGCGAGGATGATTACTGTTTTCCAATGCGTAAAAGTCGTTTTGTGAAGCTCTTGGGGCAAAAACTTGATTCCCCCTTTTTAACATAAAAAAGATAAAAGTTTCCAGCTTCAGAGTTTCTGTTTTAATTAATCAGTGTCCAAATAAAATCATTTTTAAATCCAAAGACTCGAGTAGAGATGCAGCTCCATCCAGTTCTGAAAGCGCTTTACAGTCGCGGGATTCTGTGAGCAAGAAAGACACACAGAGAGGAGAGATAGATGAGTTAACTGCATGTACGCCCATGGGTGGTGTTTCATTTATATTTAAGAAGGATACAAAAAGGGGGAAATGCTTGCAGAAAATAGATAATAACACCAAAGAGGTGGAGAGAAACCCAAAAGAAGATGAATTTAAAAACTCTAGTTCTTTTTAGTCTATTTGGCGCAATTTGTCTATCTATCCATGTTTTTTTTTTTTAGCAATGGTCTTTGTTCAACTTTTCTGCACCCTGCCCCCCTTTTTCCCTTTCCCAAACTTATGGACTCACACACACGTACTCACATCAGGGCAGCTAAAAGTGCTGCAGATGTTGGCATTCTTGTCATTTCCTGTGTTTACATGGTGGAAGCTATTCAGGAGAAAAAACAACAGCTTGTAGTAGAGGTGAGGGAATGGTAAGAAAGATGCATTATTTCAACAATAAACTGTTAAAGAATGTGAGCCAGTAACAACCTATTATTTGTTTAAATGGCTTTGGAAAGAAAGAGCCAAAAAGGCTGCAGAGCAGCATGCACAGACCAACAGTGGAGACACATTTGCTCACAACAGCTGAGGTGTTACAGCTGCTCTATAAATGTCTTCTTTGACCTTAAATGTGACCATGACCTTCACGCCTTAACACCCACTAGAACATCCCCCACCTCACTCTATAAAATCCTAAAAAATTATGTTCTAAGCAAAGCAGCTTAGGCAAAAATCAGTAAAAAGCAGAGATCCCTGTTAAAGCGAATGGTCATATTGTGCCTATATTTACATTCCATGAAGGAATGAAAAGGAAAACAGACTGAGGCGGCGGAGGGAGCAGAACACAAGGAAGACATGGACTGAGTGTGGGAAAAAAAAAGGCAAAGTGGGGGAGGAAAGAAAAAACAAAACAATACCTTGTATTGTTAGTTTTTTACATCTGCTGTTTACAAGCCTTTGTGGAGTTGGGAGATCTGCAAAAGCTTGTGTTGCCCTTATTGTGAGCAGCTGTGGTTGGGAGTCCTTAGCAAAAAAGAAAAAGAGTAACTTAATGGAGGGGCAATGGGAAAAGAGACCATGAGAAAAAATAGGGAAAAGAGTGTTGTTCTAAATAATTAGTCCTTTTGAGCGAAAACTGTAAGACAATTAGAGAGAAATCCATGAGGGCAGTATTGATTAATTCAATTCAATCTCACTCTGTTGGTGTGGCACCCGATACTTTAATCAAACAGCTCTGCCCCTTAAACATCCCCTATTGACATAAAGATAAGCGAGTCTTAATGTTCTCCAGAGCTTCACTTATTTTTCAGGCCTTATTTTTCGACTCCAATCCAGAGTAAAGTTGATCCTTTGTCAGTAGATTGAAAACAGATTGTTTTAACTCTGTCCTTCTGTAAACACCCTCTCTCACTGAGACTTATGTCTAACTGCCTATTTTTTATAATACGGTCCTCCAGATTTACATTATGAGATATTTTTATGATATAAGGATGAATCAGGCAACCATAAAGATATAAGACTTTATCAATTGTTTTGGCATTCTCTAAATATAGGCATCCCAACTAGCTTTTAATGGCTGAAAAATTAAAGGATTTATTTATTAGAAAACTCCAGTTTGCTTCATTCGACTCGTATGATTGCAGATATGTAAAATCCTTTAGAGAGCTTGCAGGAGTGGAAAGTTTCCAAAAGGTTTCTACTTTTTGTTTTTTCTTTTCAACACAATCAGCTGATTCTAATTTTAAGTCTTGATGCTGGTACCTGTATGTAACTTACAGACTGCCTCTATTTCCGTTGGTTTTAGTGCTTGAGGTTTTCATGTTTCCACCACTTTTAATAAAATATATTCATATAAAGGTAAAATTATATAATTCATGTCTATGATTCTGATACAGCGGAATCAAACAAATATCTGTATGTGTCATTTCTCGTCAGCTGCTGTTCACACAGTGTGTACACACAGAGGGATGCTCGACTATGACGCCTACCTTAATCCTCATGGAACCCCCCTTGCTTTTCCTCTGCTCTCCGTCACCATGGATACAATGATGCAGGTTACCGTGGCAGCCAAGTCAACCCCAAACCCACACAAAGCAGCACGTGCTTTTTTTTACGCATGTATGACGTGACGTCAAACTGCAAATTTTCTTAAGCTATTTCGAGAAGAGATGGGAGAGAAGAAAATAAATATATATTTATATTTATCATGTTCCCAGTATATATCTGTTTATGTCTGTGAATAAGCAACAATTTCAATCCTATTATAATATTTGAAAATTATATGTGTGAACATTTGAATATATCCTCATGTGATCAGAATCCCATTTAGTGGAGTCAGAACTGTGCATAGGTGCCTCTAGAAATCCCTTGTTCTTGTGGTGGATTAAGTTCTCTAAAGGTTTGCAGGCTGTCCTGCCCCCTAGTGTTCATACTGTAGACTGCTTGGAAATTGTGTCTGATACATTTAGGTAAGATGTAAGACCTTGGCTTTAAAATATTATGACAAATCAAAACAAAGCCAGATAACCAGTTAAACCAGTTAACCAGTTAAACAAGGATATGATATGTTAAAAACATGTCTAGCTGTTATATGTGCTATGTTTCATAGTTTTGTTTATGAAAACTATTTGAAATGTGCAGCTCCAGGTGAGGATCAAACATAGTTAGTGTTTAATTGCATACATTGACTAAACAGTCTTAATGCCAACTATCTAATTGTTGGTTATGAGTATTTGTGCACACCTGCATTATGTGGCTTATCCCATATAGGATTTACTCCAACCTCTTAGCAGTAATCTCACTTCATCCAATCCAGCCCTCCTTGCTTCCCTACAACATGCTCTCAAAGACTCACAAGTACACATGTAGGCTGCTTTCTCTCATTTTGACCGTCAACCATTCATGTTGTTGGACTATTGCTGTCGTTGCTGTGGAGTCACACTCATAAAACGCCATGGACCCTTCTCCCTCAAGACTACTCCCAGTGATACCTGGGTAAGAAGACCAGAACATCATGTTAAATAGAATATAGAGCTATTTAAAACAATGAAGGAAAATACTGTGATGTATTGCAAAGTCATCAAAGTATTAACTGTGGGATAGTTTTCCTAAATACGTTATTGATTATTATTTTACATTCAATGTTGGTATGAGATAGAAAAAAACATTTGTAATATATTACTAAAATTGTAAAATATTACTCCTTTGGTTCTACTCTAACTCATCGCTTGATGTTTTATTTATTTCATTCCAATATATTAGCTTTAATTAGAAAAGTTAATCATTCTAGACATACAGAAGGCTAGTGTATGGCATCATGTCTTTCAAACCACCAATCAATTATAGACAATTTTAGTGATTGTCTTTTACTGTAACATAACATAATGTTTAAACTTCAGATGAGAATGCTGGTTTCTGGGTCAGCTTTTTTAAGAAAAGCGACAAAGTCTCTTATTGAGATGGTAAACAAACATTACAAAGGGTTAACTAAAGGTGTTTAGCTGTCTGAAGGTATTAGGATAGGCCCTGCTGCTTTCGTTTTACAAGCACTCATACTTTTCTAGCTGTTTAAACAGAGGCCCTTAGGAACGGCATTCATTTTTGTCCTGTATGGTTTAGTCATCTGAATGAATTATACACCTTTAAAATCTTGTGCTTTCTTAAGATCTAATAATATTAAGAAAGCAAGATCCTTAAGCTAAAATTGCCTGTCTGCTATTTTCACCATATATCACACATCATACTGATATAATGACATAATGATAATAGAATAGTAGTAGTTAGGTTATTTTGCTATTATGGTGTTTGTAAATTATGTCTGCTTTCAGCTAGCTGTTATCACCAACACGTATTTAGCATTTCACCTTGCCCTAAACAACTATTTAATATTATTAAAGGAGTGAAAAGTAAAAGAGGCAAACCCTACTTTCAATGTCTTTGTTAAAGCTACTGAACAACACATATGTGCTAAAAGCTTTTATTTATAGCCCAAATATGACCAGTGTTTGAAGGGCCTGTTCATGCTTTAACAACTGCAAGTTTTAGTAAAGTTTAAGACTATGAATAAAGTAGTAGTATTATTTACCTAGTGCATATTGGCAACACTGTCTTAAACACAATATATTTCTACCAAAGGTGTTAAACGATTCTTAGCTTTAACATGCTAACTGCTGCTAATAAGCAAAACAAGTCATACAATTTTTTTATTTAACCATCTAATGCTCTACATATTTTAATGTCTTCATAGATATTTTACTTTTTAGAAAGGTTTTACTAATTCCATTTATCAATTTATTTAGACACCAAAGTTTTCTATTAAATGATGCAGACCAGTGCATCATTCCTAGCCTAAACTAATTTGTGATCCATCCCTACAACGGATTGTGATTAAATTAAAACAAGCAGTATGGAACAAGTTTTTATTTTAAGTTATAACAAAACACCTTATATGTAATACAAGACAATAAAAACAAAAAGCAAACAGGTGTTTTTCTGTTTGTGAAGTGCTGTTCTCTCTACAACACAGGAGACATTTGACTTGTCCCAGCAGGAAATCACAAGTGTAGCTAATAAGATTACAGATGACCCCCATTCCATTAAGGTGTGCAGTAAGCCAGAGAGTCCTGGCAGTGACCCATCCGAGTGGAATGGAGCTCATTAATGAAATAATTAGTTACACCTGTGTTTGGCCACCTGAAATGTCAGTCATGTGAAAAGGGCTTTTATCTCTGCCCCTGTGGAGTTGTGTAGCTCATTTCCTGTAAGAGCTGCAGGCAGTCATCTATGAAAGCAGGCTTTAGCAGGACATTGACTGTCTGGAGTCAGGAGGATATGTTTTCTAGGTCATTTTGGACAGGAAAAAAAAGGTAAATAAATTTTCTTGTCACGGACTCAGAACAGAGGACCCAAAATTTGGGGAAGACAGACAATGAAATAATTTAGAAAGTGTTTATTCAAAATGCCGGGCTGTGGATCTTCAGTATCAGTGGCTTGGTCATCTAAGGCAGGATCGTCTATGGGAGAGAAACACCGGTTGGTGACCCACGATAATCTGACAGAGGTTGATTATGAATGTATGAGTCACTAACCTGGTTAAACAGTTCAGTCCGTGCCCAGAGAACAAGGATGACTCCAGCCGGTTGGCTGAAAAGTCAAAGCAGACGCCACCAGAGAGTTCAAGACGCTGAACCCTAGAAGGCTGCAGAAATGACAAGAGATCAGATCAGAGCAGATGAAGACAGGATAATCCATAGGGCAAAGTCAAAAGGCAGATCCAGGTTCAATTCACAGAAGAATCCAAAGGGAGTCCGAAGACAGGTTAGGCAAACAGATCAGAACAGGGACATGTTAGCTCAAAGGTCCAAATACAGACACGGGTCAGGATCAGGCAATCAGAACAGTATTAGACACGCTAGAAAACTTTCACACCAAAGGTTAAGAATAATCTAGCACTGATGGCTGGGACCGAGGAGTTTAAATAGAAGCAGGAGCAGGTAGATCAGTTGAGCAGTGATGAGAAACAGGGCAGAATTAGACAGGTGAATTAAATGAGTAATTAAGCCAGCCAGCAGCGCCAGGGTCATTTTTGGGACGTAAATAAAATATTTGGATTATAGGCATTACATATTCAATATCAGGTTAAACTATTGCTAAATCTGTTTTTATTTGTCTTTCTTCATTTTCTACTTATTTTAGAAGGGTGTAGTAGTAATGATCTATTGTAAGAAGGGGAATATTCTAAAGTTAAAGTCAAGGAAACTTTTTATTTATTTTTCTCTACATGACACAACCAGAAAGGTCATTACTGCTCTTTTCAGCTCACAGTCTTTTTTCCTCAGGTTATTCTGCAAAATCTGCTGATGTGCATGGTGTGCTTCTACTCCCTCTACTACATCGTGGTCAGTCTTTGCATTGGACTCTTCAGGTACACTCAGACACACATGGTGATGTTACAATAAAAAGGCATACAAATAAGCAGGCTTAACTAGCGCAAATAAAGCTGTTGTAATTTGCTTGGGCACACTTAATAGTATTGTCATTTCCTTAGAGTTCATGAGATAAACAGCTTATTAACTCCATTTGACTATACAACACAACCATCATGGCAGAACCCCAAATATCTAGGTAAGTTGTTACACACAGGATACTAGTAAACTTGAAAAATATTTGAGAAATTGTTATTTCTTCCTATCTTAATATTCATGCACACACAAAAAAAAAAAATCCCAAAATGTTGTAGTTACTTGTAGTTTTCTGTCTTATGTTTCTTCCTTCCAGTCGGGGTCATTTCCACAGAAGTGACGTATGTTCTGGGGGGGTTGGTGTTTGCTTGGATTGTAGAGGAGTGGGTCTGGGATTATGCCATAACTGTCACACTGTTGCACATTGGCATGACTGTAGCAGGTAAACACACACGTGCAAAGTCATGTGGATGAATGGGTCAGAACAACTGATAGGATTGTAGACCTGATTATATAAGTGAATGCCATTGGTAGAGATAAACATGCAGAAAATATATGATATAGTTACCAGGAAATTACTCTAGAACAGTACAAATTTGATGTATTTGATTGTTTTTCATGTTCCACCCATCATTTTGATGTATTTTTGCAGTGATGTCAGATTTTCCCTCAGCTGAACACTGGTGGATCGCTTTGGGTAAGAATTTTACCTTCTTATTAATGTTTGCTTTGCCGTCCTAGATACCTTTTGGACAGCATACAAAAAAAAAAAAAATCTCTCTGTATTTCTGTCTGAGTGAGATATGATCTCCCCCCGATTCACATCCAACACGCCTCCAAATGCTGCTGACCTTTAAGCCTTCCTCTTTGTTGTTTCCCTTCAGCCCTTTATCTACTTTCAACTCTCTGCAGGTTCAGGCCTGGTCATGATGATATTCGGTGGACAGCTCCTGGCCTACAAACTCTTCAGGAACAACTTTGTCTATCCTGCTGATCTACAGAACTTCTAATAAAAACCATGGAAAGCTTTTAACTGGCTTATTGGGTTATCCCAGGATGGAAGAGTGCCAGTCAACTCGCTTTGTGGTTCACTGTTTGATTCATGTTTGCAATAGTGTGAGGAAATAAAGCATGTCTTTTAAGAATAAAAAAATTACATGTATCTCATATCAAGGTTTAGGGAGTAGTCTGTTCTAAGCAGTAAAAATCGCTTCTCTTTGTCTGTTGAACAACATTTTCACTAATTAGTAGTGTTATATATTAGGAGTTTATTTTCAAACATATATAAGCACTTTGATTGGTGAGAATTGGGTAGCGTTTTATACATTTAAAGTTCTATTTACTTTTATTTTATATTTCTTATATCATTGCACTTAGGAATGTAACTTATCAGACTTTTCTTTTGTAATAAAATTTTATATCTTCATAAATAAATACATGTAAAATAAAATGACGGTGAGGCACATGCGCTGCAACCAGTCTTAGTATGACATAGTTAAATGTCTTTGTCTTTAAAAATGACTGAATCCAGGAGTATTGCAATGGAAAAAATTTGACGTAATTGCTATTATTAAATAAGGCTGTCACATAAAGAACATATCAGTCCTCCTCATTGTGCATTTCAACCAATGGCCCGTATTTACAATGAGCTTTTTTCAATTCAAAAGACTCCCAAGAGTTTTACACTACTCTTATTCAATGATCTGTTCACACGCTGATGGTGGAAAACTACTCTGTAGCCATGGATGTCGTGGGGCACGCTGACAGAACTGAAGGTGCCTTACAAACGGTACCAAACTAGGCCATCCGACCACCAACAGTAGGTAAAGCAGGTGAAGTGTTTTGCCCAAGGTCACAACTCAGAAGCAGAATCAGGCCCAAACCAGCCTGAGGTGCCATCACATGGGGTCTTTGTTGGTGTGAAGTTTCTATTGTTTAAACCTTCGAAATTTTTGCACGTTGCTGCACTGCTAATGGCGAAAAGCTGCTCTCTCAAGCCGGGCATACACTGTGCGATATTTTTAATTATTGCACGGAGTTACAGCTCACACTGTACGATGAAACCACAGGGTTTAAAAGTTCACAGCTCACGATGTATGTTCTCACCCTGTGCGATCCGACGCTCTGATGTGATCTACCTGCTCACAGTGTACGTCTGAAATCCACGTCGGACTGAGCTCCGCAGTGAGCTGACACTACTCGGACTGGTCTATCTGGAAGCCAAACAAGTAGAAGAGGAATATGAATCTCGCTAAAGTGAAACATGCTGCCGTTTCAATTTGTGCAATTTTGTGTGCTGAAAGCCCTAAAAAAAAAAGGCAACAAAGTGTTTGGACAAAAACATTGCTGAGCAAACGTGGCTACTTTGGTCTGTCAATTTTACAGACAGAACTCCATTTCACTCGCACCCACGCAATTCTTTTGTGTTTTCTTCTGAGAGGAAGAAGAAGAATCTTTGTTTGCGCATGCTCACTGAGAGATTTTCCCACAACGGCCGACTGAATTTGAACATGTTTGATTTTTCTTCTGACCTCACGATTGCTGATAGTGAGGTTGTCATGAGTGGCTGATTGCAACCTCGTTACCCACTGCACACTACACGATGTACGATGTATGATCGTGCTGAAAGTCGGCCCGATCAAAAAATTCTCACACGACTGGAAAATTGGCCGGAAAAAGGGCAAAACATCGTACAATGTATGCCCTGCTTCAGGTAGACTTTCGGGTGTAAGGGGCCGACTAAGATTAGCCTCACTCTATTAGTGTATTTCCTTGTCTTTTCATTATTGCAAAAGTGGCAAAATTAAATAAGCCCCTGTCTTGTATTATATTAACCTAAAAATTTCAGATGATCTTAAACATGTAAAGTTTTAATCCGTTTCAGGCATTTTATAAATATGAAGCTAAAGCGAAAATTCAATCTGGAAGACTCTTTATCAGCCTCGCCTGGATCACCTGTGCCTCACTCAAGCTGCAGCCAGTCGAGAACGGACCACACCAACCCCCTCCAAAGCCAATCATTTTACAAGATACTTTTCATCAAGATGAAGTCCCAGCTTACCGGTTTAGTGTATCAGCTGAACTTTGAACAACCTCTGCCTAAAGGTGGGTGATGTGGAGACACCTCTACATAATGTATTTGTTCTGCCCAGCAACACAACCAGGCCAGTCCAATCTGCACAGTGAACTAAATTGTGCAGATTGGACTGACCCGGTTCAGTGGCTGGGCAGAACAAATGCTTGCCGTAGAGGTGACTCCACATTTCCCACCTCTGCTCTAGCCCAATCCCAAACCGGCCCCTAAGCACTAAGCCTGAGCACTAACTCTCTGCTTGCTCGTTCCCATGGAGGGTTCGCCACATTAAGTGCCATCCCAAAGCACGTAGTGGATAGGGCGAGTGGACCGTTCAGCCCTTAAATACCGAGTCTGCATCAGTTGCAAGCTGGCCGGAATTCGGCAGCAGGTGTAACAGCAGCCTGGTGGCAGAGGAAACACGTTCCTCCAAATGTAAATTCCACTGTTTTGCTGCATCTTCGTCACACTGATAAGCTCGTATATGAAAAGCACTAAAATAATAAAAAAATGGAAGGTCCTCTTTGAAATAGTTTTATCTTAAATATATATATATATATATATATATATATATATATATATATATATATATATNTATATATATATATATATATATATATATATATATGCCATAGCAACGATTGCTTTCATTTTCCATTGGAGGGTAGTAGCCATCCCATTCTCTTTCATTCTGTTTATTCTGATTGTATGAATATAAAATTATTTAATCAGATGGAAAAGTATGAAATCATGTGTAAATTCTGTTATTTTGAAAACACAATTAGACTATTAATCATATTCATGCAGAACAAACACAATTTCCAAATCTAAATAAATATTAAATATGAAAATAAATGAATACATATATAAATGTATAAATAAATAAATACATATATTTTTGTCATGAAAAAGGACAATTCTTTTGTAAATTTTTTCTTGTATTTCTCTACTTATGTATTTATTAGTGAATTTTCTCCTTTTTGTTTATTTACAAATTTATTTAACCGATTTAGTTAACCAGTTATGCTGAAGATAATTGAACCACCCTCTTCATCAACATACAGAGATGTAGAAATATAGAAAACAGTGGGAACCAAATAATAGAATTCAAAATAAAAGAATGTAAAGAAATAAAAATATAAATAAATGTATAAAAAAAACAAATAGGATATAAAACAGAAAAATAAATACATAAATAGAGAAATAAATAAGAAAATTAGCCTTTTTCATGACCAAAACATTTATTACTGGATTTATACATTCATATGTGTATTACTTTTATCTATTTATTAAGTTATCTGTGTATTTATTTATTTACATCTTTATTTCTTTCTGTATTTCTTTTTGAATTTTTTTCCAAGATTTATTGCATTCTTTCTTTCTTTTTTTTTTTCTTTTTTTTTTACATATTCTGATTTTAAAGCCATTGAAATAAGAAATTGAATCATCTGTTTTGAAACATATGAACTTTTTAGCATCAATATTAATTGTTTTATGTATATATTTTTTAAACAAGTAAAAAGTATTGAAAAAGTATATATCCTGCATCTCATTAAGGTGGTTGATCATTAAACAGGAAGAAGAACCAGTATTAATGTCTTTGGTAGGAACCTAGAGATATTAAACAAATTACCTCAACTTGAACGTGTAAAAATAGCTACCAAAAATATAACATTCTTCTCTATATCTTGTGTGATATTATTTTACATTCTCCAGTTAAGTCCGAAGGTGTTTGTTTTTTTGTTACAGCAGCCAAATGTCAAGAAACGGGCTAATAACAGGCATGGGGATGCGGCTAACGACGACTAGCACACTGGTAGGTCAACAAGTTGGGCTAATTAGCTCCCCGTGACATCAAATGTGGCCTTTATGTTAGAGAAATGTCTCCTACCAATACAATGCAACTTATTTATCTTACTTTATGTTAACATTACTCGGTTATGCTCTCTGTGAGCAACTCTACTTTGTCCGATTCTTCTTTAGTAACCTCAAATATGGCGCCGGTTGTTGCTAAAGTTAGCATTAATGCTAAAATCAAACCTTCAAAGCAAATTCTGACAAATTAAGCTTCGCTTTAAATGAGGAGCTTAAATATTTTTAATGGATTGCTGGAAAAACTCGTAATATTAATGTTTTATGCACCAAAGAAATTATGTTAAATGATAAAGCTTTGTATTTTTCTACCTTCTTATTTCAATATTGTTCCTAGTATCTGTTGAGGATTTTCCTTTGTATTTTAGCATTTTCTCAAGCTGGGGATGGAAAAAAACTACTCAGATAGTAATGGAATAGAGATTAGTAATATTTGCTAATGGCAGATCGAGTTGATCATTACTTAAGGGTTTTATTACTTTAGGTCAACTCAAGAAAGCATCAGTTTTTCATTTATTTAGAATCAAGTAAGTGTAAACTGTTTATTAAAAGTAAATAAGAATAAGATAAATATGAGCTTGAAATGATAAAGCAATCATCATTCCCTTTTTATGTGTAAATATTCCCCATCACTGGTGTAGGACCAGTATGAAACCCCACCCTAGTCTTCTACAGAGTCAACAAGACTGCAATTTTATTATTTAGAGTGTCTGTTAGCTTTATTTTGAAAGTCCAAATGAATCTGGATTGTGTTTAGCAAAGAAATCAAATTTTAGACATCTTATCTGTCTCTTTCTATTTCGTAGAGTCCTTTTGAGCAGCTTGGTCTGCACATGTATGACATCTTGGGAGATGGAGGGATCCTGAAGGAGGTGGTCCGGTCTGGAGAGGGTCCACCTGTGCCCCAAAATGCATCAGTTATAAGTATCTACAGGAGGAAAAATTGAAGTCTTATGGGATTTGTTCCTTATTTATTAGCTGGTGTTTATCATATTGCATTGCCTTTCAGTGTATTACTCCGGATATTTGGAGTATTCTAGTCACCCTTTTGAAAGCACTGCTCACCTGAAGTATCCGCCGATGATGAAGTTGGGAAGGGGTATGAGTTTAGCTTATTAAAGGAATATTTAGTTTTATTTCTTAGCATGCACGTTTTCTTACAAACCTTAGTTTCCAGATGTGACGCTGGCCGGACTGGAACTGGGGTTGTTGACCATGAAGAAAGGAGAGTTCTCCCGGTTCCTGTTCGACCCTCAGTACGCGTATGGAGAAATGGGCTGTCCTCCTCTCATCCCAGCTGCCGCTACAGTTCTGTATGAGGTTCAAATTGTGGACTACCTCGATTCGGGTCAAGTGGATGAGTTTATTAGCATGAGTCCGGTGGGATTTCATTACAACATTCTATGCATGACACATTTTTTTTCTCATTTAAATTCAAGTTATCTGTACAGTTTTTAAAAGTAAAAGATTTTGTCTACTCTTATTTTTCAAGATTTAGATTATAAACCTGATTTTGTATTAGTCCTCATAGAAATTCCCCTAAAATAAATGTCAGTATTTGTTTTGGGATTAAAGATGTGCAGAAAAATTAATCCCTTTTTATTTTTAACATGTTTAAACTATTATTCTACATCTTTCTGCTTTTGTCCTCAGGAGGAGCAGAACAGTGTCCCCCTGTCCACTCTTTTTGAAGTCATTAACACACTCCGCAGCTTTGGGAACCGCTGCTTCAACCAAAGCCGATATGGCCACGCCAAGGATCGCTATAAACAGGTGCTGTAAAGACTCCCTTATTTCAGTCAGTGCCCCATAATTAGGTAAAATGCCTGGCTTATAAGTGCCCTCCCTTTCCAACAGGCAGTAACTCTTCTAAGAAATAAGAACGAGCAAAGTGAGCTGGAAACGGAGAAGATGAACGTGGCCCTGCTTCCACTCTATCTGAACCTTTCTTTCACAGAACTTCGTCTGGAGAGTCCCCAAAAAGCCCTCAAATATGGAAAGAAGGCCTTGGAAATAGACTCTGCCAACACAAAGGCTCTCTTCCGATGCGGACAGGTCAGACTGCAGCTCAGCTTGAAAAGAAACTGCTCATATTCACTGGAATATGGGAGATAAATCTGTTGTATAGAGCCATGCTTCAAGAAGATTTAGTCTTAACTTTAGAGCATATCCATGTGAGCGTTTAGTTATTAACTGCTTGTTTGGTTTTGATTGCTGTCTTATAGGCCTACTATGAGCTGGGTGAATACGAGAGCGCTCAGGATTGCCTCATGGCTGCTCAGTCCAAAAAGCCGTTGGACAGCAACATCAACAACCTCCTGAAGAAAGTAGCGCTGTAAGCTGTTATCCTTTTAGAGCTCCCATTGCTTTCAGTAATTTTGTCTGGTTAGTTCATCTGATAGCCTAAAACCTTACAGGACATCTTTGTCTTTTTTTTTTTCTTTTATTCAGGGCCTTTAAAGACAGCTTGGATAAAGAAAAAGACATGTGCTTGAAGATGTTTAGTAAGCTAAGAAGCCCAGTACAGACTTAACCAACCTCTGATTGTGGTGAGGAATCCTGTTTGTCTTTCCGCTTTGACAGGTAAAAAACTGCAATAATGTTTACACATGTCCTTTTGAAAAGCATTCGTAACCCCCTGAACATTGTTACAATTTGTCACTCCGATATGCAGAGAAGTCGGTTACAAAATGGTACTTTTCACAATTCGTAGACATGGCTGTTGAGAGAAACTGAGGGGCAGCTTGCTTCAATGCAGACCCACGGCTCAGTTAGGAGAATCTTTTGACACAAAAAACTATTTGCCCCATTCCACAGATATAGACTTTATTAAAAAAAAAAAAAAGAGAGAGAGATTAGATATTTTGCCTACATGCAAAACAGAGAACATGTCGAAGAGATGGACACATGCAACAATCCACCAGATTTAACACTGGATCTAAGATTTCTAATGTCAATCACAGAAATACATTTGCACAAATTCCATACCTGCACATTATTGGCTACTAAATACTCTTTTGTTTCTATGGTAAAATACAGGGCTGTAAAGCAGCTTTTTTATATCCTGACTGAGCACGCTGCAAAATGTTGGTATCTAAATACAAGATAAAAGAAAAACCCCAAATTAGAGGATATTGGACGGTATTTATCAAACTATAAGTCACGTTTTTTTTCATAGTTTGGCCAGGGGTGCAACTTATACGGACTTATGGAGTGACTTATATGTGAAAATATTAACGCATTATTGTATCATTTCGTGTGCTCTAGGCCTGTGTTCATAATTTCAACATTGACATTAGCTTATAAAAACTGAGAAGCGCTTAATAAAAATGGCACAGAAAAGAAAATAATATTCTGCAGATTAAAAGCTGCAAGTAGAAAAATATTAAGCAGAAAGCGGCAATCGAGTAGCAGAAAGAAAGTTCGGAGTTAGAGGAGTTGTTTTAAAGTGACACAGAGGATGAAGATTACATTGGATTTAGTAATTTGTAGTGACATGAAATGTTTGATAAACTTGTTGGCATGTTATATATGCTATAGTTATCAGAATAACTCTTAATATTTTATGTGAACATACCAGGCACGTCCCAGTTCGTTGTTTATGTTTCATGTAAGGTTAGCATACCGTACATTATTCAGCCTGTTGTTGTCTCTCTTCTATTTTTATTTTAAATTACCTTTCAAGATGACATGTCTGTTCTTGGTGTTGGATTTTATCCAATAAATGTCCCCCAAAAATCAACTTATACTCCAGTGCGACTTATATATGTCTTTTTCTTCTTTATTATGTATTTTATGGCTGCTACAACTTGTACTCGCGAGCGACTTCTTATCCAGAAAATACGGTACTCAAAGTAAGTGAAGTTATCTCTTTATGCGGCAGATAACTTTACACAACATGATTTCTTAAATAAAGATGATAGTGTCAGAGACTTGATATAACTCTTAAAACAAGATAGATTACCTTGTTTTTGTGAATCTAGTTATTTTTTATCTTTCTTAAAACCAAATAAGTTGCAGTGTGCTTGAAAGGGGTCAGACTTACCATCCTGACATAGATCCGATGTCCCTCCTGCTGTGTATTTACATTTCCCAGCTCCGTCTGATCTGTTAACAGCATCATTTTACCTATAAAACTCCAGTTTACCCTAAAACTTAAATTATTATAGATATAAACATACAAAGATTTATACATATACCTTTTTTCCATTTGTATCTAAGTGGTCGCCAGCAAACATGGTAGTCTTGTTTTAGTTGTCATTTTTTTTATGGTTTTTGCTTAATTTTCTATGTAAAATTGTGGTTATAGGTAAATGTATTGTTTTTTTCTTCCTAACTTTGTCTAATATATTTATGTACATTTCTAGTTGACCTATTAAATCATAAAATCTATATAAATTATATTTGGTTTTCAATGGGATTAAAAGTGTCAATATATTTACAAACTACTGAATGAGAAAAGTTGGGGTTCTGAACATTTGTTGTTGCTGGACAAATGCCTGAAGCGGACTTTGGAAAACTTGTTTACTGAACAATAATAGAATTTGTTTTAGCTTTTGTCACAGTTATCCAGTTTTATTTCTAAACGGGCATCACGATGCAAGACGTGATGCCAATCAGAACAGTTCTCATTTACCAGATGATAGAAGTAGGATTGTTTTTATTAGAGGAAGTTTCATGCTTTTGCACCTTCTTCTCTGATTAAACTGGAAATATGTTGTAGAAATCTTTAAACTCCAATGAGATGTGCGCTTTAATGTTAAAGGATTTTGGTTTTAAAGGTGAAGTTTTATTAGAATATACTGTAAACATTTTAGTTATTCTAAAACAGTTGTAACTTTTTCCTTCTAACTTGGTTTGAAAGCACAGATTCCCAAAATTTTCATGGTTTCCATTTCCATTTTAGACTCATTATTTTGGCTCTTTAAATGTGAGCATTTAAATGAAATGACTTTGATACTTTTTTTTTTTTTTCCCTTTGCAGGTCTCAAGATTTGACATCTTGGTCCTTGCCTACTGCCCCTATCTTCCACCGGTGAAAGTTGTTTCTATTCATTTCCCGCCTGTTATGCTTTGATGTTTCTGATCTTTGCTTTAAATTCTTGTTTGTACTTCTGTTAAAAAAAAAAAAAAGTTAATCTCTCTTTATCTGTTCTCTAATCACACCTGAGGGTTCTCATCGTTCTTCCTTTTAAGGGAAATACTCAGATTTCATTTTCAGTTCTTGAAATGCTAATTAAGGAATGTAATTCAGGTCTCTAAAAAATAAATTTAAGCAAGACAAGACTTTGTGGTGACCTACTTTATTCCTTGTTATGTGTATCTAAAAAAACAACACTCAGGATGTTGAGTCATATTTAGATTAGATCGTTTATCTTTGATTTGCAACAGCAGAACATAATGTCCACATTATTGTATCTTTTTTAGGGTTTCTGATAAAAGAGACAGCTTGGTGTAAAAATAAAAAAAACTTTTACTGTTTACAGACTGACATTACTGTTTTTAACTGGACCTTCTCTTCTGAAATAGAGTCCAGTTTCGGTTCAAAAAAGGGTTCTTAATGTTTAAAGAGAGTAATGAGATATCTCAAACTGATTAAAAGAAGTTATTTTAAAGCAGATCTAGGTGTCAGGAAGAAAGCCTTTTGGCTCTGATTAATGCCATGTTCTATAAATTGGTAAATCTGAAGGTAATAAAACCTAAAAATATTTTCTTTTGTCTGGAATGGAAATGTAATGAAAATTGTATTCTGGAAGAATTGGATTTTTTTTTTTTCATTTGATTAATAAAAACTTTAAGTACCAGTAATGGACATTTTTTATATTTACTAATGCATTCACTGTAAGGGAATTGTAAGGCTCAAATACCTTTAATAACCTGTTCCTGGAGCCATCCTCCATTCGTATGGGAGTGGTCCAACCAGAACTTTGTGATTGCCTGGATATCATCAGTAGGAGGAGCACTTGGAGATTATTAGTTTGTTGAAAATGGTCACAAAGTGGCTTTGTGTACCAACAAATATAAGGTTCATACCAGAGCCATGCTATACGTAGAGCCTCAGCTAATCTACGTAACATTTAGAGCTGAAGTGTAAACATAAACAGTAGGAACTTGGACTTTTGCTGTGAATCATCTCATTTAGAATGATCTCGCGTTTTGACAGCAGCCATCAGTCTTCAATTCACTCCTTATTTATCTCATGTAGAAAAAAACTTAACCTGTTTAAAAAGGAATGTAGAGAAGCTGGGATGATGGGTCAGATGTATTCAGATGGGAATTGAAGGCTCAACTGGGAGTTCTGGGACAACAGGGTTAATGACAAAGGATCAGAGGCTGGGAGGAGCTGGAAAAAAATCAGATTGACCTTGCTGGTTAATCCACTTGCTACATTGTCTGAGTGAGTGTTTTACAAACATTTAGCTGCACATGGCCTGTAGGACATTTTCTGGAAAGGTTGGACTATAAGACGGACGGAATGACTGTCAGAATGGTCTCCAGAATCACAGAGTACCTCCATCTTAGGTAGGAAAGTCAAAGACGGGTTGCAGGTTTGTGTTTTAAAGCTGAGTGTGAATCTGTGTGGGCATGAATGTCTGGCTTAATAGCTGGAACCCATGAGTTGTTTTTCATAGAACGTTTTTTGTCTGTGGTACTTTTAACTTCACCTTCATTCTCGCTTTCTATCAAACATATTCTTTAATATGCTTCATTATGTTGTGTTGCTCTGCATAAAAACATTTTTTTTACAAAGTAGGACTGGAATATTTCCCTTTCTCGGTTTGCCATCACTTTCCAGTTGCCTATTTGTAGAAATAAAATACTTTTTTGCTTGTACTGCGTGTAGTTATACCAATTCCTATTATGATTTGTACTTAATTGGATGAAAGATTGTTCAACTCCAAGTATGGGGCTGATAAAATTTCATGAAATCCCTAAACCTCTCTTGATATGAATAATTTAGCAATTAAATATTGTTTCAGACACTTAACAACCATTGCTTATCTAAATGTGCTGCTGAATAAACTTACATGGTTTCTTTCACTCTTCCTGTAGCTGTAAAACTGCATATCTTCCCCTAACACAATTCCCTTTGCTTATTCATGTAAAGGTAAAAAAAAAAAAAAAAAAAGCTTAAACCAAATCAATTTTCTGTTCCAATCGGGAGAATTTCAGACACACACAAAAAAAAAAAAGTGCAGGAAAATAATAAAAATTAATTTATTTTGCCCGATGTTTAAAAACTTATATTTTTGTTTCTTTATGAAATCCAAAAAAAGAAATGCACAGTTAAACAGTTTCTTAAGGCATGCCTTGAAAAAGCTTTTCATTTTACATTTAAGTGTAAAATTTGTGGGAAAAGAATAATACTTCCATGTAAAGCATCTCCTGCCACCAGTTAAGTGCAGTGGAGGATCTGTGATGCTGTCGGCCTGTCTTTAAAAAGAGCCCCTTGTTGGAGTACATGGCAACAGCAACTCTTAATTTATGCTATAAAACTCAAAATAAAGGGGTTATTGCCTCTATTAGTATAACAGTTCAAAATCGTGCAAAACAAGCAAATAAAAATTCTGGAGAAAACTGGTGGTTTTATTTGAAAAGATTGTAAGAAAATATGGCTTATATAGATCTATATATGTAGATATGAACACCAGGGACAGGTCTCTGGAAAGTCACCAGTCCATCACAGGATAGCACATAGACACACATGTCTGTCCTACACTGTTTACATTTTGATCACTGCAGTACTTTATGAATGGAAATGTTCTTTTTCACTGCTAAGCTGCTGCTCATTCACTGTTTTAAAGCTGTATAAACAGAATTTCGTTTTGTATAAACTCTGTGTATACAATATGACAATAGTTTGTCTAAGTCTAACTATGCACAGACGCCTGAGGACAATTAACCTGCAGCGTTTTGGCCTGTGGGAGGAAGCTAGAATACCCAGGAAGAACTCAAAAATATATAGGGAGAACATAGAAACCGCATGCAGAAACAGTGCTACAATCTGCATCTGAATTTTGTAAATCTTCCTCATGGTCACGAATGACATGGGAGCTGGCTCAGTGCTCATCTGCCTGGCTCTGTGTTGCCCGGACAGGGCCGCCTTTTACAGCTGCTTTTTGTATCTCTGCTTCTGTCTCCTTGAACCCCAGTCGGCCTCTGCAGATGGCCGCTCACACTGAGCCTGGTTCTGCTGGAGGTTTCTTCCTGTTAAAAGGGAGTTTTTCCTCTCCACTGTCGCTACAAGCATGCTTAGTGTGAGGGATTGTATTTGAGTCAACGAGTCAATGCAATCAACTGGTTTTCCTTAGATAAAAAACTTTGAATCAATTTGACTGTATGATCTGGTTGAACTGTAAAGTGCCTTGAGATAACATTGTTGTGAATTGGCGCTATATAAATAAACTAAATTGAATTGAATTGAATGCTTAAATAGCCTGTTGACCTTCTGATAATTAAACAAGACTAAATATTATGAATATTTTTTTTAATGTACATGTGTATCAAAAGAAAAAAAGATATTGGGACATTAAGGGTTTTTAAAAGACCAAGCAATTATCAAATTTTTCTAATTTATAATTTTTTTTCTTGTTTTCCTTGGTATGTACTTTGGTTAGTTCAGGTATGTTCAAATGTTCCTATAGGTACAAGCCAAATAATAAGTTACATGTACTTACCCTTTGAGGTTCATAAAAAAATGTTTTTATTTAAAATCAATGGAATCTAAATGTCTGCAAAGTGGTGCAGTGGGTAGCACTGCTGCCTTGCAGCAAGAAGGTTTCAGATTCGATATCCGGCCCGGGATCTTTGTGCATGGAGTTTGCATGTTCTCCCTGAGCATGCATGGTATCTCTCTGGGTATCCCGGCTTCCTCCCACAGTCCAAAACATGACTGTTAGGTTAATTTAACTGCCAACCTGTCCAGGATGTACCCCGCCCCATTGAGAGCTGGAGATAGGCACCAGCACCCCTTTTGACCCCAGCAGGGATAAGCGTGATGGAAAAGGGATGGATGAATCTAAATGAAATTGAAGAAAAGAAAAATCCCCTATGTGTTTGAATATGAGAAAATTACCAATATGACTATGATTAACTTTAGGATATTGATACCCCTGGTAGATTTTGTTTAAAATTCATTATTTAATTTGAACTGGCCTGAACAGAGAGGTGATTTATGGAGGCAAGGCCGCTTCCCAAAGACTTGGAGATGATCGCCTAATGATCATCCGAAATTTGATTTCTAGTACTAAAATGTAAATTAAAAATACTTCTGTAATTTAAAACTATTTTCATATAGTTTTATTATCATTTACGTTTTACCATATGTCCTGTAAGAAATCAACTTCTTGGTTGAGTAAAGAAAGGCTTAACTCTACTGAGGTAAACTAGGCCGCAGTACTTGCTTTCACCAGGTGGGGGCGGTGTTGTCTCCTTAAATCGGACCTGTTGTTCCGACCAATCCCTGAGCTGCGGTCAGCGGCGATCCAGCCCCAATCCTCCGCTGCGGGAGAGAGGGAACAGCTCACAGACAGCAGAGGAAACTAAAGGAAGAAGCGGACGGAGCGGAGCTTCTTGTCCGCATGGCTCAGTAGCAGAGAGGTCTGGCAATGGAGAGGCGTCACCCATAGGACCCGAAACAGACCCCGAACTAGAGCCGGAGGTGACCTATCGATTATAGATCGGATGTCAGTCGTGTGTGGGACAGACGGAAGAAGAAAAGGAGAAGAAACATGAGTCGGCAGCAGCCTCAGGGAGTGGTTTTAACGGGTTACCACAGCAACGCCGTGCTGTTACAGCAACCGGGACTGTGTGGCTGCCCGCCGGTACCGGACCGGGAGCCCGAACTGCTCAGGTGGGAACTATGGCCCTAATGGCCCAATAATTAATTACACCAGTCGGAGATAAAAAAGAAAAAGAAAAAAGCAAGCTGCGTGTGTCTGTGTGTTTATGAGCAAAGTGGGCAAAGGTCAGAGTAATCCAGCGTTTTTCCTCATTTTGTGGTGTTGAGGTGCTGACTTTGCAGGAAAGTTGTTCTCCTCTGCATGCCAAGGGTGCACCCTGCAGGATGGAGCAACAGCCCACTCAGCTGCACCACAGGCGGCCCTCTTTTATTGCACCTCATGGGGACATGCAGCCCCACCCTTGGCCTCTTGATGTTTTTCCTTTACCTCATTTCTAATCAGCACCTTCACCTTGACCATGTGCGCAGTTCCACATTAAACAAAGGTTACCAACCCCAGCAGGGCTAAATCCATTT